ACATTGGTTCAAATTGAACTTGTCACACTTCACAATAGGTGCAACATTGAGTGAATAATCTTTTATCTGAAATCTTTTTAAAACTTTATTGATATAAGCTATCTGAACAAACCCAAGATAACTTGAGATTTGTCTCTATGAATTTTGATTTTAATGGCATAAGATGCTTTGCCCATAACTTTCATGTCAAAATATCGAGAGAGAAATTGTTTTACCTCGTGTAACAATCTCATATCATTGGTTGCAAGCAATGATATACAAATATAACCAGAAAAAATGATTTTACTCCCACTAACCTTGTGGTATATACATTAATTCATAACATTTTTAACAAAACCAAATGAAAAGATAACATTGTGGAACTTCAAATACCACGGATGAGAGGCCTGTTTCAGTCCATATATAGACTTTTTAAGCTTGTAAATAAAGTGCTTACCTTTATGATGAACCCTTCAAGTTATTTCATATAAATCTTTTCTTCTAAATCTCTATTGAGAAATGTCGTTTTCACATCCATTTGATATAAATCTAAATCAAAATGATCAACTAATGCCTAGATGATACAGAAAGAATCCTTTTTTGAAATAGGAGAGAATGTCTCTCGATAATCAATTCTTTCTTTTTGTGAGAATCCTTTGGTAACAAGTTTGGCCTTATATCTCTCAATGTTGCTTAATGAATCTTTCTTGGTTTTGGATATCCATTTATAACCAATAGGCTTCACCATGGAATGACATTCTCTTAACTGAAAGCAATAACTTCTCTTGCAATGAGATGCCATTTGTACTTCCCCTTCAACTAAATAATATAATGTAATTACACTCTTTTAAAATGCAGAAAATGTGCCTTACTTCTTTTCAACCAAACGGACCCTTACATCTTTATATAACTGGAAGAAAATTCCACAGGACCAAAGCCCGACCCACAAGGCCCAAACACATCGAAACCGAGCAATAGAAAAACCCGGTTCAATTTTTGTTTCGTTCTTTGTAACTTTCGATCACCGATGCCACTGCCCCGAAAGCTATATATATAACGAGACGCATAGTCTTCCCTTGATAAAGTTTGCAGTGCAGTCTAGGGTTTTCCAAGATACGGATGCTTTTGGTAACTGTGACAGTGGAAAAGAAAAATGTTGGTTCAGCTCCCTCGGTTGACAAATTCTTTGAGGGAACCCTTCGACATCGACCAAGCTTATCTCCAGCGCAAGATTTTCCTTCAAAGCCACAACAAAGCTACCAAGTAAGAGCAAAAATTCCTATCTTAATTTACTCTTTTTTTTTTTGTTTTTTAATGCTTTCTCTATTTGCTTAAAACAGAGGAAAAGTGGAATGTTTAGGATTCGCTGTTTGGTTTGTTAAAGTGCATTGGGTAGGAAAATGCTAGTATTGAAGTAGAACTTTTAAAATTGCTGTTTGATTGAAATTATATGAAATTAAGTGAAAAATGCTACTATTTGGTTGTTGCTGTTGTTACCTTTTTTGTTGGCCTGCCATAGAAAACAAAAGTGCTTCGAATGCCACAGTAAATGTTGTTTTGGAAGAATTAGAAAAAGATGCATAAATGGACTTTTATATGGTAATACACTGTTGTTAGATTAGGTTTTGCGTTTTATATATTTATTCATTTTTAATCAATTACTATGATTTTACATTTTGCTTTTACTCTTTAGCAACTTTTTAGGAAGTAATAGGGCAACTAGCAAAAGCAACATGCAGACGAAGCCTAAGAGTATCTTCTGTCTATAATAAAATTTAAGTTCTATCAACTTATCATTGTAGAAATTTTCAGAGGCGTTTTACCTTTTAACTTCAGAAAAATCATTTTTAGCTCTTACATAAGTTAAAACCTGCTATTGTAATCCCTGTTTGACCCAGTCTAAGCTTGTTGGAATAGAGAAGCTGCAGGCCAAAAAGACCTTATAAATTTATTTGCTTTATTTTACTTTGGTGTTAGTTTATTGATAAGTAGTTTTACTCTTCATTCATTAATTTAATTTTCAGTGCAAATTATATGAACCTTGTTTTCTTTAATTGTGTAATTTACTAGTGGAGACCATCTTGATGAGTCAGATCTTGCAAGGAAGATAGTTCATCAATGGGAAGAAGGTATGTGCCATAATGTTTTGCTGAATTGCAGAATTTTAATATGCTTGTGGAGTTTTCTCTATCAGATAGGGTTTAACATGATGTTTATTTTGTTGATGGGACTTATAAAGCAGCTTCAGTAGAAGTGAGACAACTATACAAACAGTTTATTGGGGCAGTGGTTGAGCTGATTGATGGAGAGTTGCTGCCTGAAGGGTTTCGTGAGGTTGCATTGACTGCTTACCGTATTTTTAGTGGGACAGTGGAAGGTGATGAAGTTGATAAAAATATCAATGAGAAGAAGTAAGGCTTTAATTTCTGATTGCTTGATTCCTTCTTTATTGATGGAGGTTAAAAGTAGCATAAGTAGGGAACCTTTGCCTACATTTCAAATTTTTTATGCTTCATTTTGCTTAGAATAGGATCCTAATGTGGATTATCAAATATATTAAGTTTGGACATGTGGTGATAGAACTGGACAATTGGTAGCCCAAGCCTAACTAAAAACCATTAACAAGTACTAAAGAGAAACTTCAGAGTTGTTTTGAGATGGATTTCATTTTTTTCATTTCAAGATTTATAATGACAAAGGTTTTTATAGTCCCATTGTTAGTTCTAATTTTCCTAGGGATCAAAGTAAATCATAGTGGATTAAATTGGTTGTTGGAGGGAGATGAGTCAACATTGCATGTTAACGTACCTCGTTAGACTCTGATACCTGCATTAGATATATGGTAAGATATTAATCTAAATTTTCAGAGTTGTGATTTCAGTCAATGACATCAAAATGCAGGGTGGAATTGCAGAAAGTTATTGGTCATGGAGTTTCATATGATAATGTTCGGAAAGTGGCCTGTTTGGTGCAAAAGCTTTCTCAGTCTCAACCAAGAGACAGTGGGGACACGCTTGTTTCGGAGAAGCATGTAAATGGAAGTGATGATGGTTCAGAATTTGGAGCTGACCTTGTCTTTAAAGCACCAGCCAGGTTTCTGGTGGATGTTTCTGTGGAGGATGTGGAGTTACTGGGTGAGGAAAACGCTGCACCTTCTTCTTCATTTGTTGAAGGATGGTATGATAAAAATGGCACTATTAATTATCACAATGCTGCTGATAGTGTAAACTTCAACTTGAGTTGGTTAAGAGATTCCTGTGAACGGATAGTCAGAGGGAGTACTTCACAACTTTCACGAGATGACCTGGCAATGGCTATCTGTCGAGTACTTGATTCCGACAAAGCTGGTGAAGAGGTATGGATTGATAATGATTCTTCTCTAAGCATATCTGTGTTTCCTTTGCATGTCTTGCATAACATTAAAAGTATTCTGTAGATAGCTGGTGACTTATTGGACCTTGTTGGGGATAGTGCATTTGAAACCATTCAAGACCTTATATCGGTAAGACATTAATTTTATTTCCAGTGTTATATCTTTTTTGTTCTTGTGGAGTCAAACTATTCTCCCCTCTCTCTCACAGGCTCCAAAAAGATGCTACTTTGCAATTGGCTGAAGCCTAATCTTCTTATGCCTTGATATGATTGGGCCATCCTTATGAAGTTGCTAGTTTTATGTTTCACTGAGATTTTAAAGGTTAAAATATGATTTTGGTTCTCAAATTCACTGGAAGCTTATGTATCTATCTCTTGGATTGTCTAATCAATAATGACCTTGAAGGATTAAAATTATGAAGTTGACTAAGTTGATATTAACTGGTCTGATTACAAACTTCTCTTTGTTAGTATGACTGTCGTTGTTATCATTTTTTTCTCCCAAAAAGTTTTCCTCTCCCTTTGTTCTTGTTCATTAATTTATTTATATTTTTATGTTTCACTGAGATTTTAAAGGTTAAATTACAATTTTGGTTTTTAAAATTTGCTGGAAGCTTATGTATCTACTTCTTGGATTGTCTAGTCAATAATGGCCTTGAAGGATAAGAATTGGGAAATTGACTAATTGATATTAACTGGTCAAATTAGAAACTTCTCTTTGTTAGTAGGACTCTGATTATTATCATTTTTTTCCTCTCCCTTGGTGCTTTTAATTTATTTGTTTATTTTTTCCCTAATGCCTAACTATTAGATACTTCAGATTCAGTCCTTCGGAGAAGTCACTTCCTGATTGTCTTTTTCTTTTTCAGCACCGAAAGGAGCTTGTTGATGCTATCCATCATGGATTATCAGTACTGAAATCTGACAAAGTGAATCCAAATTCTCAATCACGCATGCCCACCTATGGGACTCAGGTATTACTGGATTTTATATCAGAAAGTTGTTCATCAAAATATCAAACAACTGGTAAGAAGTCATTTTTTCCTTCTTTTGTAGGTTACTGTCCAAACAGAGTCTGAGAAGCGAATTGATAAACTACGGCGCAAGGAGGAAAAGCGTCATAGACGTGGAACTGATTATGGAGCTGAGAGTGATATGTCAGCTGCAAGCTTTTCTTCTTTACTTGAAGCAAGTGAGAGGAAAAGTCCTTTTGATGAGTTGATTGGGTCTGGTCAAGGGCCCTATTCTCTGGCAGTAACTGCCCTTCCACAAGGGACCATGAGGAAGCATTTTAAGGGGTATGAGGAGGTCATTATTCCCCCAACACCAACTGCTCAAATGAAACCTGGGGAAAAGCTGGTACTTCACATCTATGGCCATATTATTCTTTACCATAACTTTACCATCAATATTTTCCCCGTTGATAGGCTCAGTGTTTTTCAATGCAATTGTAAACTGTAGAGATTTGTTCGTCAGTGAAAAACATGTTCTATAAGTTTGTGTAAGAAGTACAAAGGACTGGCTGATAAGCAATTATGGCAAACAATGTTACCTAAAATAATTGTTGTGTTAGTTTGTTACTATTTACCTGGAAACAATCTGTTTTGAGGATTTTTAAAATATGTAGGTAGCCTCCCATATAACTTCTCTACTTTAATTCTTTACCATGGGCAAGGATGTCTTCTGAATTAACAACTTAGCTGTGCAAGGATGTCTTCTGAAAAAACACCTTAGCTGTGCAAGGATGTCTTCTAAAAAACCACCTTAACTGTGCAAGGATGTGAATTTCCTGTTTTCTACCTTATTCATGGTACATTTAACACCTTGGCTCCCCATTTGCATGTGTTTCCTCTCCTCTCTCCCCTTTGTGTGTGTGCATCTATCTCTGGGCCTTCACTCATGTTGAGTGCATCTTTTGAGGTTATCCTTTCTAGGACGTCCTAGCCCTTATCCAAATTTCTTTTCATAACATGACGTGTGAGACTGAAAAACTCCTCTCAATCTGTGACATCGATTAGGAGAACCAAAGAAAGAAAAAGGACGAATATGATATCTATGACACTAAGAAGTCTATTAATTTGTTTATAGAGGGAAGGGCTTTGAATGATCAGGTGTTACATCTTGCCAAAGTAAGAGCAACTGTTATCGCTTGTCAGAGCTCAAAAAGATTGGGTGATGCAACCTCTAGGTGCCTTTGTTTGGAGTTTTGCTTCTGCTAAAGCTGTAAAAGGGGTTTAAACAATTTCTTATGCTTAATTACTGATTTATAACATCTTTTGCAAAACAATTGCCTTAAGTACGTGAGCATATCTCCTCAAAACTACTGAAGTGGTGATCAGTTGTGGTGTTAACTTTTTGAATCAATGCTGTTCACTGGTTTTATAGATGGATATTCTATTATTGCTTGCTTAGTTATAATTTTGATAGTGGCTTAGTGTATTCATTTTCTTTCTTGTATGTGGTCAGATTGAGATAAAGGAGTTGGATGACTTTGCTCAAGCTGCTTTCCGGGGGTACAAGTCTCTGAATCGTATTCAGAGTCGGATATTTCAAACTGTTTATTACACTAATGAGAATATATTAGTAAGTCTTCTGTTCTACAACTATAATTTAATATGAAAGACAAATTATGTTTGTAAAAAGATCACTTTCCATTAATTATGTTGATGTACTTTAAGGTTTGTGCACCAACCGGAGCAGGCAAGACAAATATAGCCATGATATCTATTCTACACGAGGTATGTTCTTTAGCTAGGTCTCTATGCTCTGCTTTTTTGGGTTTTTATATTTCATAATTTGGTATAGAAATACAATTGAATCATTGTTTTTGGATGGTACTTGATGCATTTGATGCAATTCTTTGTGTTATCTATGGGTTTTCTTTTGCAGATTGGACAGCATTTCAAGGATGGCTACTTGCATAAAGATGAATTTAAGATAGTTTATGTTGCCCCGATGAAGGTTGAACATCCCATATAATTCTGTCCCTTTGTCAGTAGGATTGGTTACTAATTACTTAATTCTGGTTATGTTTTTCCAGGCACTAGCTGCTGAGGTCACATCGGCATTTAGCCATCGCTTATCTCCATTGAATATGTGTGTGAGAGAACTTACCGGAGACATGCAACTTTCTAAGAATGAACTTGAAGAAACTCAGGTCCATTGTTATTAAATTACATATGCTAATTTTTATGGTGACCACAAACACATTGTTACTGAGGGCCTTTTATTTTTTTCACCAATCAGATGATAGTTACAACCCCTGAGAAATGGGATGTTATTACTCGCAAAAGTAGTGACATGTCACTCTCAATGTTGGTGAAGCTCCTGATTATTGATGAAGTTCATCTTCTGAATGATGATAGAGGTCCAGTGATAGAAGCACTAGTAGCTAGAACTCTTCGTCAGGTAAAGAAGGACTCATCTTTGTTTCTTCTGTTGAATAGGTGACATTTTCAATAATGTAGTTTGAGATCATGGGTATGGTTGCAAACCGTACCATGAAATAATAGTGCTTCCCCCGCTCTTCTCACCGAACAGATATAGGATTCCTAGAGCAAGGTTCTTGGCATTCAGTACTGCTGCAAGTAGGATCATACATTAGTGAGTTTGTAAAGATAAAGAATGCATGGGAATGTGGGATTAATACATTGAAATCACAGTCAAGTTTTTTACTAACTCAAGGCATGTCAGCTAAGTCCAAGCTAGCTGTTTAGATGTTTTAGATGTTCTTTATTGACGAGAATCACTACTATCTGTTTTTGGTGATAAAGATTATCAGTTCTCTTTTAATGAATTTAAATTAGCTTTTTTTTCTTTTAGTTTTTTGAATGATAATTTAATTCATCTTCATCTGAGGGTGCTTCAAAAATTGAATTTATTGTTGGTTTTTGCACCTGTCCTGAACAAGGTGTTCTGCAGTGTCATCTTCACTTTGGGTTATACCAATGTTAAATCTATGTAGTTCTATTATCTTTATTTTATGTTTTTTCCTTTTGGTGGCAGGTGGAGTCAACACAGACAATGATACGAATTGTGGGCCTCTCAGCTACTCTACCTAATTATTTAGAGGTTCTTTTAAACATATATTGATAGTTGGGACTTAATATTCACTCTTAAATGCTGGAAATTTGATGTCTCTACTTCTGATTTTTTAGTATGGTTAATGTCTTTCATATAAATGTCCAGGTTGCACAGTTCCTTAGAGTGAATCCAGAGACTGGCCTTTTTTTCTTTGATTCTAGTTACCGTCCAGTTCCTCTTTCACAACAATATATTGGAATTAGTGAGCAGAACTTTGTTGCTCGGAATGAATTGTTGAATGAAATATGCTATAAGAAGGTCTCTGTTTCCTAGTAGGCTCTCTTTCTTATAACTCAAGTCTTGACTGAGAGTTTAGTAAATTGATTATACTTTACTGCAGGTTGTTGATTCCTTAAGGCAAGGTCATCAGGCAATGGTGTTTGTTCATTCACGGAAGGATACTGCAAAAACAGCTGAGAAGCTGGTATATCTTTTTTTTTTTTTTTTCTG